GACTATGTTTTTTATAAATGTAGATAAGAAATAATTTCTTTCATATTCTGTCTGCTAGACCACAAGTACCAAACATGTTTGGAAACAGCTCATTTTTATTACTCTAAACATGTAGCAAACTACGGGGTGTTACATTTAAACCAATTGCCGCTAGACAATAAGTATTTTTGATAATATTGTTAATTTACCTAATAAAGAATGTAACGCGTTACTTTATTAGCACACACACAACTACTGTATTTTTGTCCACCCTGTACCAATTGGAATCAACGTGTGATACATTTTTGGAATCAGCTCAGCTAGAGTAATCCGAAAATTGAGACAAAATGGGGGTGTTCCATTAAAAAAAATCCGGTGACGTCATTACTCGAACGTAATTCACCCTGTATATCAGATTATTATTTTAAAATACGGTAAATTAAGATAAAAAATCGACGTGTTTCAGGATTATTTCTTAAAATGACCTGTTTAGCTAAAAATGAATTTGTTCCATACTTTATGGACACAGTGTATATACACACAGTGAACGGCAGCTGTTCGTCTGGCGGCATTAGACATGGGTTCAAGTCTCAACTAAATATCGTTTGATAGCAAAAAAAATGTTAGGTGCCACTAGAATTTTATTTTATGAAACCCTGGAAACAAAATATTGAGAATGACAGAGCCTTATGAAATGAAAGTCAAAATCCCCAACAATAAATTATTACTACAATAATTTTTGTTTATGGCGTAGAATGATAAGATACAATGAGTTATATACAATATCTGGGACACTACCCAAAATAATAACGAACGAATATGTTTTCTCCATTACATGGATGGTTATTAAAAATAATAGGATTTTATACCTTTCAAAGAGCTTCAGAATCAGCTCTGCCTTGGACGGTATATTGGTGGTGGTGAACGTGTATGGTGGATGTGTCAAACCGGGTGCCTGATGGATTTACTTCCAGCTGAAGTAAAGGCGGATCAGCTGATATTGGTGGAATCAAATCTGCTTTGCAATGGAACCTGCATCCTGAACACTTCATTAGAACTATACATCGGACCTGGGATACATCTTCGGAGTTTGGGATACTGCTACGGTTGAAAGTACTGATACGGTTCAATTACAAACAGGAAGCCGTTGAACAGGGCCTCGTGGTACCCGTGTTAGACTTCTTGAAATCAGACTCGAAAAAGGGAACTCCAGGAATGGATTATTTCTTCTCAAATTATAGTGAGTAAAGATCATCAAGTCCCAACGAAAAAACCCTGTGAAATAGGTTTAATTACAACCAATTTCAACATACCAGAAAAAAGGCAAAATGGCGGAGGGAAGCTTGCAAGATTTAAATACTGAAATTACATACCTATCGGGTTCAGAGGGTAAACTTGCTCTCAACAGGAACAAACTAAATATCAAAGTAACAATATGTGTGAGCATATCCTCATCGCAAAAAAAAAATTCACCAAGAAAACCAGTGCTTATGACTCGCCACTCTGAAGTCACGCCGGCCACCAAAAAAAAAGGACCTTCTTTTTCATTTTCAAAAAAAACTTCTTAAAAATCAACCTACAGCTTATTCTGACTGGCATGTATTCTGAGTCTGTTTTTCACGTCGAAACGGTGACGTCAGACAAAGTTTCATTATTTTCGGACAGGTTAAGATTTGAACTGGAACTAATAAAATTTAAATATATACATATATATGGATGTTCTCAAATGACGAAAACTGCAATGCCAAAAAAGTCTACCTAATGTCAAAAGGACTACTTGAAGAAAAGAGTAGTTGTTTCGACCCGCCAGATGACATGTCTAGGGATTCACGTTTCGTAGTGTCGAATAAACAACGAACGCATCGAGTGGGGAAGGATGGTGAGAACAGCCCACATTAACCGATCTGTTCTTGGAACATGAAAGAAAATATCCTTCAACTGATTGAAAGTTAGAGGTCGACATCCGATTGTTCATTTTCTGATGACAGATAAAAATACTCAATCACCACCAGCGCAAATAGACGATCCAAGGCTTGAAAATACATAAATACAACGGTGAAAATATATACAGATATATCAATGCATGATAACTAAAGTGGTTATACTCTTCAGTAACAGGTGAGTAAATGTAACAATATATAGTACCAGTGACGGCTCGTGCATTGGGGAACAAGGGAGGCTTAAGTCATATAGACTATATACACACAGAAAAGCCCGCCAGAGGCGCGAACTTTTTTATGTTGTTGCACGCTTTGCTTAATACTGAAGTAAGGGCATGGGCATGACAATGCGTAAAAAGTGCTTGAGGAGCTATGGACTTTATTTGGGTTTATAAACCATTTAAATGACCGCCCATCATAGGTTTGCGCAATTGACTTTTGCCTAAAATTATAGGTGTCACACGTACGAATTAAAAAATTAAACAAATCGTCAGCTGTGTGCCCAGATGAAACATCATGAAAACCCATAAAACGTTCTACCACATTAACATCTTTGACATATCTAAAAACGAGTGAAAGTTGTGATGTACAGGTAATATCGGTAGTTTCATCAATTTCCCATGCAAAAAAAGAAACATTTCAATCTCCTTGCTTATATTTTCCTTAATAATGTATGCCACACTGTCTATAATAAGCTCATTTTGGATGGTTTTTGAGGTGCCCGAAAAAACGATACCGTTTAAAAAAGTGTCAAATTGTGAATCATATTTGCCTCATAACACGAGGTAATTTTTTTATATCGGAGTATCCTAATTCGAACAACGTTTGGTATTCGGTTTGTACGGAAAATAAAACACAGGGCCAACAAAAAAAGTTTTTCTCGTTTGATGGAGTCAGTTAACCAATCGCATTTATCGTACCAACTAATAATAAATCCACGATTTTGTCGATTATCTGACGATTTAAAATTGAAATCTAATTTGGTTGAGGCCTTCCCAGAGTTTTAATAATGTAAAATTTATTATCATAAGATGGAGACTTGAAATTATTTGTTAGCAACCAATCGACTATATCGTCAGATTTTTTAATTTCGTCCAACTTATCCATAATAAATGAAAAAAAAAACTTACTGAAAAGTGAAAACCTGAAAACACCTTGAAGTTGAAAGAAAACACTTTAAAAACACAATAAAAATATTACCAAAAAGCACTGCAATAATATAATACTGCCTGTTTTATACACAAATAACAAATATTATCAAGAAACACTAAAACGATTCACCGGAATACTTTTCAGTCCCGGTCCGTCACGGTATCTCGTCCTTATTATTAAATAAAAAACAAACACATTCATACACTAACGGAGACCAACTGGAGGCAAGCCTCCTCTGACACTAGAATTTCAGCAACTGAAATTACAAATCGGGACGTATGTCGCTGGTTGGGTCGGTCTCGTGGAGCCTATGTTTTTTAAAGCGGTCGGAAGCTTGGCTCCCTTGCAACATATACCATTTTTTATTTCGCGTTGATAGTTTATTCGTTATTCGTTCATGGACGGTGCGTTTGAGTTTGAGCAGGATACAGTGTGGTACGTATTACGTAGTGAGTGATTAGTGTTTTTCGGGCATAATATGTATTTATATTAAAAACTAATGGTAAAGTAATGATACCCAAGCATTTTCAGAAAAAAATAATCATAATTATTTGTCAATATCTTTTAATTTATTGCGATGAATAGCCTCAAATTTTATGAGAAGGCTATGCCTCCCTTGCCTCCTCTGACGAGCCGCCGCTGTATAGTACAATTTTATAATAGAAATCTGTTTAAATCTGTTTTAAAATCTGTTTTTCTGTTAACCAGCTGTCGCACTCCTACGAACGACAACCTTTTAACGTGTGATTCCTAACACTTATACTAAATTCCTAAATACTTATACACATCACGTAAAATTGTCTCTTTCGATTTATAGGAACCCTACTAGTAGTGTAATCTGCAGAAGACAGCATTTATGAAAGTTTTGTGTGCTCTACATGATAGAGTACAATTATATGACATCTTGAAGGTAGATAAGAAACATAATGAATATTCTACAACACCACTAATTCCTTTTTTCCTTTTCAGAGATTGGTGGAGCATTATTACGGTCCACATATGAAAAACATGAACACCTGGTTATCTAAATGATGTGAATCTATCATTTGAATAAAAAATATTAGTATAACTCGCTTCAGTTCATAATTAGGTAGTGTAAGTTGAATATGGTTCAAGTTGACCAAGTGAAACATGAGCTACACCTTGAAAGAAATAGCATTTGATAAGGATGGAATAATGCATGGCAAAAGAAAATGCTATAGGAGCTCGAATAGTAGTGGTTTTCAAAATAGTAATATCATCAACACGAATAAACTACCTTTCGAACCCCGAAGATAAATGTAATTATATTTGAAACGTCGGCAAAAACAACAATTGTTATTTTAAGAAAAAATTGATACTGTTACGCAACCTCTCTTCATAAGAGTTACAATTTTTTGATGTGTTAGTGCTTAAAAGTGATCAGGATCTTGAAATTGATATCTATAGAAATGATACTACTTTCTCTTCCATAGACACGTTACGTTTTTTTTGGGCGAAAAAATATATGACTCCACTGGATTTTTATGAAACTTGTACATACTATTTTCATTTTTCAGAAAGTCTACAGCAATAGAATAAAGCAATGGCACTTCGTGAACTGCCCATCATATGCATATAATTTACTGGCATTGTTCAAATCACTCATAAAGCCAAAATTAGCTTCGCGGGTAAGTACAATTCCACTTCAATGATACAAACATAATTAAATATGCAATCAGTTATTATCCAAAAATTATTGCGGAACAAATATTCCAGACATTAATTTCATACCAGATGTATGTATTCGCTGGATATTATCAATAGGGATATAGATGAAGACAGTCTTGTACAGGGTTACTCAAATTCTAGTCAATGCATGGGGATATCGTAAACGGCAAACGATAGAGTTGAATCATGACAAAATTTTCTGTTTTATTATTTTTGAAAAATTGCACACCCGATACCGGGTGTGCATGTTTGCTCGATGAGTTAATAATGCTGTTATACAGTGTTAAACAGTCAAATGGAATAAATTCATTATATCGGTTACGGTACATATTGAAAAAAAATCCCGAAATCAGTCAAATGTGAATTATAATTTGACATGTCACCCCTACCTTCAACCCCCTTCGAATGACAGGTACAACCCCCAATGTTTTAAATGGGAATTAAAGGTTTGTGATATATCGTTTGAAAGGTCTCGTTATTCTCTATTCACAAATATTATCGTTTTTGAGTTTATTGCAACAATTAAGATGAAATAAATGAAAATCATGTGGTTACCAAAATTCGATAGAATACAGTCAAAAACTAATATGTAATGCAAAACGTAATGAAATGTAGACTACGAAAAAGAACTGTGAATGTTAACGAAGTAGATGTTCGGACTGTTCATCGCGAACGTCTTGGCAACATTCTAATCTCAAATAAAAGTGTCTTTCGAAATTATTCAACATATCAGGCGTGACCGACCTAATAGCAAGCGTTATTCGGTCTTTTCAGTCACTCAAATCTTAGGAAATTCCTCATGAGGGAATAAGCGAGCAACTTCCTGTTCTGTTCAGGTTTTATTTCCGTAATCAATCATCTGTAAAACTGTTATTTTATGCATTTACGTTAATCTAAGCATTTGTCAGTCTTGAAGTTAACGAACTTTAAACTTGATTAAAAATACTGTCAACCAATTTTGTAACATACAAAACAAGTTGACAAGGCGTTTTAAACTAACGTTGCCACGGAAATTATTTAAAGTTTTTTAAAGGATATCATCTAAAAAGAACTTTGCTATCAATACCAATACCTCAACCAATACCTCAAGTTTCGAGAGTATTTTATCAAATTTCGGTAAGCACATGATTTTAATTTATTCTATCTCAGTTGTTGCAATAAACTCAAAAGCCATAACATTTTTGAATAGTGAGTGATCGGGCCTCTCGACCAATATATCACAAGTCTATACTTTCCATTTGAAAAATTGGGGGTTGTACCTGCCCTTCACCGGGAGTCGAAGGTAGGGGTAGCATTTGAGTATGTCAAATTATCATTTGAATTCAATATGTTTCGGGATTTTGTTAAATCATGTACCGTAAGATTCAAATTCTAGTCTATACATAGGAAGCTAGTCAACAATAACAACTTTTTTTAAATTTTTCTGCCAGTCTTCTTCTGTTATATTAGATACTTCCTCTTTAACTAGCTGTATTACCTCCATATCAAATTTTAAATTTGATTTTCACAGCTGATGCTTTGTTTCAATATTCCCCAAATCAACTCGATATGATTGAAAATACAAAAGAAGGGGGGAAGTCTCAGTATGGCGTGTCCATACTTTTCAGCAATATTCTCAAAGGCATACACTTCTTCAGATGTTTCTGTCTGTGAAACTTCAAGTAGTTGGTTTTTGTTATAGTTATCTTCAAAATACGAATTGTCATCACTGAAAAGCTTTATATTTCATCTTTCCTCGAATTTTCATTCGGTACATTGATGAGCTGTCGCGAATGATAGGAAGCGTAGTCAAGAACTATTACATTATTCGCATCCAAATTTGGGATCAATGTATTTTCAAACCATTCTTTGAAAATACTAGCGTCCATGTTCTTATGATAGTCAAGATTGCAGTCCTTTGTTTGCAGGCATGTTAGGCCTACTCATATTCGAAACACCAGTCCACCCTTCCGTAACTGTGTCGTGAATGACATACCAAGTTTCGTTCAAATAGAAAATTTGCGGTTGTTCTTGTGTATATTCAGTTATTTGTTACGCAATTTCACTATTTTTCTGCTTTCCATATCAGCTTGACGATTGTTTATTATTTTAAATCTAAATCCCAGTTTCTTTATCCAATTCTGAAGAGTTTTGTCACAGCAGCTCACGTTATGGCCGGAAGTATTCAATTTCTTCCTTATGATTTCAGTTGTAGGAATCTCATTGCTTTTGTAACAGTCGTATATTGTTTTTTTCAATGATTTTATTAGATGAACATCTGAAGGATTTGGTAATCCTTTTTTGAATAATTTACGTACAGTTGAGGAAGGAATTTCGAACAAATCTGATATTGCTTGTAATAGTTTTTTCCCTAAAAACCAAACTTGAGATGTGGATTCTTATATACATTGAAATATACTCTCTGTGATTAAATATTCAAATGCATCCGTATCTTATTCATTGGTATCTCTTTTTCGCATTGTTCACCAGCGCTATTTGAATCACTACACAGGAAAAAGTCTGCGTTGTTATCACACTCGTTATTACTATTAGTACTTGTCCAAGGACACCACATTTTGAGCAGATTACAAAAATTTCAAGTAATTATAACTGCACCAATATCAAATTTCAACACTCAAATCGCGGTCAGTTCCTGAACTGAACATTTATGACACAACGGGGCGATACTCATCCTCATACAGCACGACTCTTATAACCATCCTCGCATTCTATTCGTCACCATAACATGACTTTTAATTTAATGACTCTTCAGACAATCATAAAACTCGATTAGTAAAAATTATCCAATACGAACCGCCAATTCTTCAGTCCACGTGGACTAGTTCGTAGCGGCATTACTTCTCTCTATTGGTTTTTTGGCCTTTGAGAAGCCGATAGCTTTAAGTATTAACAATAAAGATTACTTCGACCATACCTGGTGAAGGTTTTGAAACTGAGCTTGGTACTAAGGCATTGCTTTTATTCGAGTGATCACCAGGATTTTTGAGAAAAATTTTATATAAATAATGTGAGCATTTGAAAAGAAATCATATTTAGGCACGACAGATCTGACGACATTCTGTATGGAAGTTATGATCATATTCTGATGGTACAATGAAAATTCATGTAGCAAAGTGTGAACAAATTTTCGATATATTTGCAAATAAAGATGATACAGTGAAAAGAACAATTTTGGAATTTCAGTTTTTTCTCGCAAGTAGTACTCGTCATCTTCCACCATTTGCGAACTCCATGACAATAAATTTGAATTTGAATAACTCTGTGAATGAATACTTCTACAGTAATCCAACCAGGATATTGAAAAATATTGCACGGCACCAGAAAAACCACGTTCTGGAAATAGTTTTTAACCATCCGTTGCTGTGCTATAATCATTTTTGTTAATAGAGGAAGATGCAAGTTTCGAAATAAATAATCCTAGTTAAACTGTTTCTTCAAAGATCTGAGTTTTGTCTGATGAAGTGGCATAGAGAAAGCATATTAATGAAACAATTCTGAAAGATATATCATGTGTAAGGTTCCTGGGCCTGTGCACCAATGAGTGTCTTGACTGGAGGAGACACTGTGAGTTAGTTATTTTGATATTCAACTCTATCAGCTATCTATTCAGCAATGTGAGATCAGTTTTGAAGAAGAAACAACTGGTAGTGATAATGTTATATTATACACAAGTCGAATCCCGACCCAGACACGGAATAGTTTTTGAAGGTCATCCACTTGTTTTAATGATGCATTCACATCGTAGAAAACATTGATTCGTGTAGACTGGTCTCTTTCGTACCTCTAGTTGTGAATAATTTCTTAAAACTCATTGAATTTTAACCTTGCCTTGTTTGTACATATTTGAAGTGTGTGTTTTGGTATTTTGTTATTCAAACTCTTTTATAGTTATTGGGTTAATTTACACTTAAAAAACAAGATAGCAAAACGACTTACATGTGTCATTTTCAAGGACTAACTTTTCATATAGTTCACCCATTGTGACTGAGCAAAGGTTGTTCAGTAAACTCACCACTGAAATTGAATCATATGTGAATTTAAAGCAATCAATCAATTTCTCAGAGAGAACCTGCTAGAAGGTGGATTTTACTTCTTGAAAGAGTTTTAGTTATATTCTCAGTTCTAGTTCTATTTTTTAGTCAATTGGCTACTGTTTTCCACAAATTCTATACCTGTTTCTGCATGCCACTGAAAATGAAGTATTATTATAATCAAGGTAGCAAGTAAATGCTTTGTTCATCATTCAATTGCATACAAAGTGATTCAAATATGATTCTGATTCTCATATAACAACACTGTATTTGAGTTTGTCTCCACATTCTACACGAAATGGGCTTGTTTCATGATTTTTGGCTTATAGTTCACTTGATAGAAATTTTAAATTGAAAAACAGTGCACTTTGTTTTATCTCTCTGAACACCGTAGTTTTCCCGTAATTAATTATTGAAAATCGAAGGTGGTAGGGTGATGACGTCACGACCCTATTCCCGCTTCTTGTTCGATTGACCAATAGAAACAATAGAAATAATCAACATTGCCAAATCGTAATATTTACGGAGCCTATAGTTATCAATTTGATTATGGAAGTGTATATGAACCCGTTAACGTTTCAATTAATGAAAAATTCATCACATGAAATAAAATGTACAGGATAAATCATGTTTGGAAATGGGTTCTATATCTAAAATCAGTACACAAAGTCGATAGATCACAAAACTATGATTTTATGCATTATTTGATAATATACAGTTATGAAAATCCAAAAATAAAGCAAACTGGATGAAAGAATCATTTCAAATATTCAATTTATTCTGAAATCCTCAATCTGTACAACTGCAATTTATTACAAAAAAAACGATTCCTACATACATACCTCTTTCTAATATAGCTACTGAATTCAAGCGTTATAGGCTCGATTGGGTACTCTGTTGAATCTTCCAAAACTTGAGAGGAAGGTTGAGAGGTTGAATCCAACAAAAGCTTTTGAGGTAGTGCCATTAATCATGTGATGAAATTTAATGAAGTAAAGTGTAACATACTTTCAGCGACAGTATTAACTCCAGATAATACTTTCTATGGAGAATACTTGAAGTTGAAGATAAAGTTAAAACTCAATGTTGTGAAAATAAGCAGAATGGATCCGATATGACATACATTTTCAATGCCGAATAAACCAATGAATTGTGATATGGGTACTACATTTTCCTGAGAAAATGAACGATCAATTAAAATTTTCTGTAATTATTCATTAATTTTTTTTAAAAGAAGTCAGAAAACAAATGAATTTACAATAATAAGATCGCTCGATTCCACGAATTAAGCATAAACATGGACAATAATATTTGGCTTGGTAACTGATATAATAGTACAAGTTATATCTAAATATGATTCTAAATAGAATTAAAAGAGCTGTATTTTGTGTTCGAATGATCATGAACCCTAATAAAATTAACTGATAATGCATTCATGCTACCCACCAGAAATAAGAAATTCAACGTTTAGCCATATTGTCAGCCAGCGCCTTCTGTAGTGAATGCGACAATGTGCTCTTTCTAATGTCAACGGTTTCCACAAACTTCGTATTTTTGTTAAAATAATTTCAAAATGAATGTTGAGCCTAGTTTTGTTGAAGCTGACTCCCGACAACTTACCAAGAGTCTATTTGAAATGATCGATGAATTTTACTTGAAAAATTAGTATTTGGTACCGAAATGAAGAATGAAAAATTGAAACGGTTGGTGGAATTTACTAGGTCCCTTTCATTTATATGATATTCATTCCAGACTTTGTCTTTCATCGATAAATGGAAAGTTTATCCCGACCAAGGAGCAGTATGGTGACTGAAAAGAGAAGCAAAAATATATATAGTGAAATATAGAATCACTCCAGAACATAAAATAATATTTTTCGGAATGTGAACTAATGACACGGAATATGCAGCAAAATAGGCACCCGCCGAGACCTACCTTTCACAAAAAAAAAAAAACGTTCTTTGAGTAGACAATTATAACAGTTGTTTTCACACCGAGTTGACAACAATAACAACAAAAATGGCGTCTGTCAAATTGGATATTCAGATCTGTGATTGGATATTAAGAACCAATACACTTGGCAACTCCGCCCCAGACACGATCAATTTTATTGGTCAACAGACACGCGGCAAATTTGAATTCTTCTTTTCGAATTATTCTTTTTTCTGCAAATATAAAGTGATTTTGGGATCGATCAGGCTTGATAAGTATAATATACGCCTAATTCGATCAGTCTATAAGCAAACCAGTATCATTTTCCATAGCATGAAACAAGCCCATTACTTTTCTGACGATACCAACATGTTTCATGTTATTTCTAGCTTTCTTCGATTATTTTTTCAACTTCAAACTGTTTCCAAAATATTCATCAGTTTTGATTCAATTGAGAGAGAGCAAGTCAATAAATACAAAAACGCGGCTGAAATGAAACATAATAATTTCGAAATAAATGTTAGTGTTTCATTAAAAATAATTGCATAAACCCATATTGAAGTTTGAAGGCGATGAAATGTTTGAATTTTTCTCTGACGTTTCGTTGGCACGAGTGTCTAGCTTCTTCAGAGGTTCATGCATCCTGGGTTGGTATCCGATTACTGGATATTACTTCAAGGCTGCGTAACGATTATAACACAGGTAGTCTGGTGTGATGTTATCCGTACCTAGAGTAGATAAATTGTCAATAACATTTTTTGGCTCTTTCCTACCTGTTGTTTGCTATTCATGAACTTACTTGGAATAGAATTCCATATTCGGTTGAGGTCCACAACTTTTTCTCTGTAACAATTAATCTTATGTATTTGGGTCACTATTTCCTCCAGTACCAGTCAGCTATGGTATCTCTGGTTGGGGGCAATGAGTTCCATGTTTTCAAATAGAATCCATTGGTTTTCTTCACTGAGTGCGTATTCTGGCACAACAGATTTGTCAGTTCCACCTAGTCTGCAGTTTATTTCATGCTCTTCAGCCTTGTTCCCATCCATCTTCTGGTGCTTCCGATGTATGCCTTTCTACAATTGCATGGAATGTGATGAACCCCTGCTGCTGCTATCTCAAGCCGACCCGAGGCTTCGTTATATTTTTTGGTGGGTTTGAAAACCGTTTCAATGTTGTGTTTTAACAACGATTTTCAAACCCACCATGAGGATGAAACAAAGCCTCGGGTTGCTGAAGACAAAAGAAACCCACAATCAGCACAGACTTATCGTATACCTTCCACTTGTGGAAAGGGATATTTCGGAACCACCAAAAGATCCATAGGAACAAGGCTGAAAGAGCATGAAACTGTCGACTAGGTCAAATGGACGAGTCGGTTGTGGTAGAACATGCACTCAGTGGGGGAAACCACAGGATTCTGTTTGAAAACACGTAACTTATTGCCTCCAACCGGGGATACCATGGCCGACTTGCACGAGAAGCAATTAAAATCCACAAACACATGGATAATTTCAACAGAGTAGAATTCCATTCTAATGAGTTCAAGAAGAGCAAACAGTATGATGGGAGGTTAAAAAAGGTCAACAATTGTTATTGACAATCTACCTAATGCAGGTACAGGTATTAACACACTGAACTACCTGAGTCAACATAAATAATGTCATCAGATTGTCAATGAGAAAACCTCAACCACTTTGTCATATTGAAGTGGTCGAATATTGAAGTGAGATTTGGAAAACCCGTTGGAAAAATGAATGATGATTAATAAATAACAAGTTACTCCATTGTTTTTCATACCATTCCACAAATTATAAATCTTTGAAGAAACAGTTCAACTACAGTAATTCCAGTCAGAGCCTGCATCACTTCCGATTTTCCGAAAAAAACAATAATCTGGCTCCGGCAAACTTGGTTTGATAATCTAGTATTTTGCTCATTGAATATTTTGTTTTCACTATACCAAACTTTTCAGATAAATCACAACAACCAATCATGATATAGTATTGAAGCCTTTCGAGTCCCAGAAACTAAACAATAATATAATGAGAGGCAACGTATCTACAATTTCGGAAGAAATTGTATCTATTGATCGATATGAAGTTCAGATCTGTAATAGTAACATATTTTTGAACTTTCAGATATTTATCCACGAAGATTGCTCCAAACTTGGTGACATTGTACCTCTTGAAATATTACCCAAGGAATATGGTGGTTCAGAATTGTCTCTTTTCGAACTAAATGGTAGGTATGTTATGCCAACGTGATTAGTCATTGTTACGAGTATTTCCAATCTAATCATTACAGTTTTTAACGTCTCTTTCATGTTTTTGTAACTGTACTGGTAAAATCACAAAATTGGTCTGAGTAACTATTGAAGAAAACAAAATTTGAGCTCATATGCCATGATTGAAAGGAACTCGTAGTACCAAACGTTTTATCTGCTACTGCGGCAGACTTTATCAGTAGTTTGTATACAGACTTCAAAGGTGAAGGTTATATCTCGAAATCTCAGTAGTATGTGTTTTCATTTCGTTGTATATTCGTAAATGTTGGGTGTATCTCTGAAAACGCAATAACTATGACAACTTTATCCAAAAATATTTAGCAACTGAACTTCATGAAATGTTAACAACAGTTTTGTTATTCAAAGTCTCCTCTGATCCCCATAATTCACAAAATATTAGGTATTTTGGTTCTCAGGGCTGCCAACACATTCTTCTCATAGTTGGAACTCTTCAAGGTATTTCGCAATTCTCCTGACTCGTTCAGGTCTGAGTTGAATGCTATGATATTTCCCTAGGCTATTCGTTTTTCTGTTGATGCATTCTATCATCTTCATTCAATATAATCTGCGGTTCCATCTTGACATCAAAAGAGTCCATTAAAGTATCAAGCGGTAAATAAATTCCTACATTTTCAGAACTCTCGGTATGTGTCTTACTCATCTGATTGACGTGTACTCTAACTAGTTTATCTCTAGTTATACTTCGTACATCACCTCTCCAATTTCATTGGTGATCTTCCAGGTTTCCGGTTAAACACATTCCTGCGATAAACCTCACAACAGATGGTTTCCCCATCTTTGAATTTTTAATAATGGTCTACACCATCATTGTGAAAAACTGGTTCATGAGACGATTGAAAATGATCAAAAATTATTTCAACTTTTCTACCCTTGAGTGTTTCAGCTGCTTGGTGTGTTACGATTTGGACTTGTTCGATGCGTTGATGAGAATATTCAAATCCAATGACTTAATGGTTGCCCTTTTCTTTTGATTTTTTTCAGCACCCCCTTGAATGTGTCAACGCATCGTTCGGCTTCTCCGTTACATTGAGGAAAGAAGAATGCTATTTTCATGTGTTCAATACTATTTTTCCTGCAGACATATCTGAATTGTTCCCTGCAGGATTTGGTTCCATTATTAGACACAACTGTTTGTGGATTTCCAAGCCTTGTAAAAATGTTCTCTAGATTCTTTTCTTTTCGGGTTGTGATTTAACTCATTATATTTTTGGTACGGAACATCTGTGGGCATTACTAGTAGCCGTCTACAACAATGAAGATATATTTTCCATGCAACAGACTGGCAAGGTCCATTTGAATTCATTGCCACGGTTGACCAGGTAGACCTGGATAAAAAAATAATGTTTGGTAATGGATTTGCTGCCTATTCAAAATTATGAACTGAAGTAACAATATAAGGCTATTGGAGTCTATTCAACTCTTCTTCAACTAAATGTTACGATGTATATGCTACTGGTCGATTCAGAAGAAATACTGATTTGTTTATATCTGATACGTGCGAAGGAATTCTTGCTGCTGCTACCTTGGCTGCTGCTGCTGGAGTTGATCTTGGCCTTGATCTTCAATGAATACGATCAGTTTTTAGTATTGAAACGTTGTTTCTTAGGAAATTTGAATGATTTTTAACGTCTGCTTGAGTGTGAGTCTGCTGATGATGAATTGCCAAACCGAACTCACTTCAAAACAACAAAACATTATCAAATTGGCTGTCATACAAAATATTTTTCACAATTCAAAGTTCCTTGCCACTGAAAAAGGATTTATTATCAGGTGTAGGTCAGATCCAAAGTGAGTGGGTCTAATTGATCCTCCACCGCAACCTGCAAGGGTTTATTGTGGCTCACACCTTATTGTGGCAGGCACAAAGTATTTGCTCTGCTGTTTCGTCATTTTTCAAACAGAAGCAACACACACTGTCTTCCGAGTCTCTGCATATGATGATTGAGATGACAGTGACCTGTAAGAAGGCCTGTTGAATATCGTAGTTCATCTCTAATGTAGTCCGACAACTGTTTGGTATTAAGCTTCGAAGGGTGAATAAACGCCATGGAGTGAGCCAATCCTGTAAGATTCTGTCAAAAATCCATAAATCTTTCTGTCATCCAGGTGTTCAATCTTTGTTTGGCAAAGCCTGAAGCGATGCCAATGATAGGTTCTGGTCCGATGAAGCTGCTTGCAGCTTCGGGCAATTTGCTACCAATTTAGACATTATTCAGTAGGAGCCAAAAGTAACGCCGCTTGACTGTCCGAAAATATTTTCATTGACTTGTGTATGTGGTTGGATTCTTCCGATCTCTCCATACACAATTCAATAGCGTAAATTTTCGCTTGAAATACAATCGAATAGGTTCCTACGCAGGTTGATATCTCTGTTCTGGGTCTGCGACTGAAAATACCTGCACCAGAACCTGGAGGTATTTTTGATCCATCTGTGAATCCACAACTATCTGCTCCCGGAGAATCCAGTCTTCTCTTCTCGGGACCAGTACTTCATAAGGTTGTTCGTAGTTGACAGTTGGAGGCATAAAGTCATAAGTCATTTTCAGATTGCTGTGAGTTTCAGTGTTAACTAAGAGTCTGTTGCATTCTGCATTGTATTGATTTGTGCAATTGGCAACATGCACAAATCTATATGCAGAAAAATGTGGAGAAAAGGTAGATCTAGAAGGATCTCTATGGCCGCTGGCGGTGTGATACTGATGGCAATGCTGATGAATAGACAATCATGTCTCTGTAAGCCAGAGAGCTTGGCCTGAGCCGTTTTCTGTAAAGTCATCGGCCACCAGTGATGATTCTATAAATTCAGGTAGTGCAATACCAAATTCTCCTTCAATATCGAGGAATGCAGCAACCGCAATCTCCTTGTAGTCAACAGATTGGGAAATTTTCTCTACAAGGTTTTTTAATGCTAAATCTGTCAATTTGTCGGTTTGATAAGCTCACTGCCACCCTCCTGATGTATTCGTCCAGTATCCTATCAAATTCTTTCAACAGGAAGGATGTAAAGCTGACTGGTCGTACCGATTCAGGGTGTGGGTTTTTCCGACACGCTTCAGGTATATATACCATCCTTGCTGGCAACCAACTGGGTGGTACCCAGACTAGTTCTATACAATTTTATGAGAATAGGTTATTTCCAGTCCGTTTTGAAGAAGAGCTGGAAATATGACATCCTCTCCAGGAGATTATTAGGTATACTACATGTCAAATATGACTTTCAAATCTTTGGAAGGGACACATCTCTTGAAAACAGTAGTGAGTATTGAGTGCTCAGGAGGTATTTTGCTATATTTTCGAGAAAATAATGTTACTTTATGTTCGGGGAATTTTGAGATGGATATATTCCTGGTACATCATACCTCTATTGCTTCCAGCTCTTTCTGAAGTCTCAGTCATTGAGTTGATCAACTTCAGTGAAGAAACACAAGGGGAGCAATGTTGAATACTTTGTAGCTAGATAATGGTAAGAAGTATGGCCCCCATTCTATATTTTACCGAAGTCAGTTTATCAAATGCTTTCTGAATGTTGGTATTCGCGTTATGCATACTGAATTAGTTCGAGTTATTCTTTTGCATGAAGAACCTCATTGGTTGGATAGAATAGTGTTTCTGAACGAAACGTACGTAATGCTATGAGCTCAAACAGCATACGAAATGATCTAGCAAATGGTTTTATATTTGAGCCGAGTTTCTACATTTCAAAACGGGGCAGATTGTTGTTGTGTTTCACAAAGTTGAATAACCTATATTCATATACAGATTCATTACGAAAACTCGTTATTTAATTTCATTTCAGAATTATGGAAAAAGAAATTAGCTACCAATGCAAGTCGATTTGACACTTTAGCAAAACTGAAAACCTATGAGAATCTGCGACCGTCACCTCTAGTTAACGACGAAATTTTTGGATTTCATGGAAATTTCAGAAAATTGGAAATGGATTGATCATATTCAATATCAGATTGTCCTTTGGGTATGAGAACGTTTTATTGGAAATAATAAAAATTATGGAAATATATTTTTGGTGAATCGATAGTGTAGTTTCATTTTGATTTCAAAATCAGTTTTGTATTACATAAATAGCAGACAATAAGTCAAATGCATAGATGTAATACTGTGAATAAAATGTTAACGGCCGTTATTTTCAATTCCCAAGATATAATCTTATTGTAAAAATAATTCTTGAACAGAAAATTAACAATATTTTTCATTATCCCTGTTGAACCTCACTTTGAATTGTATTTTTACTCAATCTGGAGTTTTGGAGGATATTGAAGCGGTTCGAGAAAACGATAACAATAAAACTGTTCACCTAACATCATATGGGTGCATAAATTTCTACTTCAATTCACTCCCAAATGACTGTCACATTGAAAATTGGAACGGTTACCTGTGATGAAATTTGATAACCACATGTTATCATACCTTTTTGCCAACCTATGAAAAAACAACAATATGTCTTCCCACGATATTTTCATCACCCAGGTCATGCCAATTCGTCTCCCACTGACGAATCTTTTTAGCGTTATATGTATTGCTGCGATATATCTATAGCAATATGTCGCTTCAGTATGGAATGCATCGTGAAGCTTCTTTCTATATCTTACCGTTTACTAGATCTCCATGCATACCCTCGAATAGCCCCGCAAATCAAAAATGAATCATGAAATGTAAAGAAATCACATTTGATTTCCATCATTAATCATAACTTATCAGAATTATGGAAAAATAAACTGAAAAAAATGTTGCCATTGATTTGAGGCTCTGTTCAATACAGTTGGAAACAATTAAACGTTCCAAATGTATACTATCATCCACATAAATAGATCATTCTCAACAAGTTGTCATCGAAATATCATCATTCTATGTTCAAAATTGTATTATTACAGACAGGAGTATATCGTAGAAAGGTGAGTAACTGGTTTACTCCAACTACTTTGGAAGCGAATGTCAAATATTATTATCGTTTCATTTAATAAATATAACTTTCTCATCACTAATTTCCACGTGGAGTTTTTTTAGTTCTTTTGAGTCACGCAAAATAATGCCTGCAATACGGTTTCCACGATTTATTCTACTATTATACAGGCTGATTCACGGTGGCCCACACAGCACCAGATATTCATGGAATATTCTCTGTATATCATAAAACGAACGTATATATTCCAAATATTCGTAGAATATTCTTGGAATATATACATGCCTTTAGAATATTCATAGAATATGCTTGAATGAATATGGCAGGATTATTCCCGAAAGAATGTGCATAGAATGTCTATAAATGGATTATTCTCCCTTGAATATTCTAAGAATATTGTCGATCGAATATACCATATGGTATATTCTTAGAATATATCCCCACGGTATATTTTGGAATATTCTATACAATGGAATTTTGAATTATCTTATAATAACGTATTCAAATAATTCAATATTATTAAAAACAAAAATATTTGAAGATCTTAATCGAATGCATAACCTAATGTATATAACCCTGATAGTGTTAACCAGTTTTTGAACTCAACGC